AACAAGAAAAGGTTAATTTAACATGAAGAAACTGAATATTCTGGGAGCCAGCACTCATGGAAGTGAAACAGTTGAAAGAGACACTGAAAATCAAAGAGTACAAATACAGGCTGCTTGATCACTAAGCAGAGTGTATGTTTTCAGAGCAAAAATATTGGAAAAGTTTTAGTCAATGTAGGAGACAATTTGCCTAAACTGTAGGTGGTTATCTTATTACCTGAAGTGCCTCCCTTTTAGCTATGTACTCGAAAGCTTCATTATGCATTAGTTCCCTATAAATTCAAATTGATATTAAATATTGCTTCTAGCAATAATCCTTAGATTGTTCCACTGTTTTCATTTCAATTTCCAAAGATCTGTCCATCTTTATTTCCCTTTGTTTAGAGAGATGTTTCCTCTACTAACAAAAATCCCCCTTTCACATTCTTGAATACATTTTAAGTTAATGTTTCAAATGAAGACCTGTGAAAGATTGTCTGAAAATTTAAACATCATCAAAGTAAGCAGAACAAAAGAAATAATAATTAGAGCAGAAACCAATGAAACTGAAAACAGGAAATCCAGTAAAGAAAATCAATAAAACCAAAAGTTGATTCCTTAAAAAAAGCAGTAATATTGAGAAGCCTCTCGTCAGGCTTAAAAAGAGAGTATGAGAGAGAGAGAAGTCAAATTACTAATATCATAAAAAGAAAGAAGGGACTTTAGTTAAACTACAGATCCTATGGAAATTAAAAGAATGATAACGGAATACGAACAGGTCTATGCCCACAAATTTGATGACCATTTCAAGGAAATGAACCAGTTCCTTGAAAGGCAGAATCTGACAAAACTCACACAAGAAGAAATAGAGGATCTGAATAGGCCTACATTTATTAAAGAAATTGAATCAATAATTAATAACCTTCCAAAACAGAAAGCATCAGGCCTAGATGGGTCACTGGTGAATTCTACAAAATATTTAAGGAAGAAATTATACGAATTCTTTACAACATCTTTCAGAGGACTGATGCAGAAAGAATATTTCCTAACTCATTCTGTAAGGCTAGGATTACCCTAATACCAAAACCAGATAAGACAATACAAGGAAAGGAAATTAGACCAGTATCTCTCATAAACATATTTGTAACAACCTTCAACAAAATACTAGCAAATGGAATCCAACAATGTATAAAAATAATTATATACCATGACCAAGTGGGACTTATCCCAGGTATGCAGGGCTGATTTAACATTCAAAAATAATTTAATGTAATTCTTTTTATCAACAGACCAAAAAGAAAAATCACATGATCATATCAGATAGGTGCAGGAAAAGCATTTGACAAAATCTAAACCCATTCATGATAAAAACTTAGTTAACTAGGACTAGAGGGGAACTTCCTCAACTTGATAAACACTATCGACAAAAACATCTACAGTGAGAAACCTGAAGCTTTCCTGCTAAGCTCAGGTAGAAGGCGAAGGATATCCTCTCTAATCACTACTTTCCAGTAACATACTACAAATCCTTGCTAATACATTAAGGCATGAAAAAGAAATAAAAGTGTACAGATTGTACTAGTCTCTCATACCACGCACAAAGATAAATTCGAAATGGATTAAAGAGTTAAATGTAAGCCCTGAAACCATAAAACTTCTGGAAGAAAACACAGGCAGTACACTCTTAAGTAAACAAATGGGACTACATCAAACCACAGAGCACTTTCACAGGGAGGAAACAATCAACAAAAGGAAAAGACTCCCTGGTGGATGGGAGAAGATATTTACACACAATATATCTGATAAGGGGTTAATACCCAAAATACCCCACAACACATACAAACTCAACATCAAAAAGACAAAGAACCTGATTAATAAATGGGCAAAGGCTCTGAACAGACATTTCCCCAAGGAATACATACAGATGGCCAACAGCACACAAAGAGATGCTCAACATCACTAACCATCACGGAAATGCAAACCAAAACCACGATGAAATAACACCTCAGACCTGTCAGAATGGCTATTATCAAAAAGACAATAAATAACAAGTGTTGGAGAGGATGTGTTGAAAGGGGAACCTTCACATAGTCAGTGGGAATGTAAATTACAGAAGTGTGGTTGTTTTAAAGGTAATCAGCCCTTTCAGAACATATTGTGACATTATAAGCAGTGTACTCTGTGCAGCTGAAACGTCTTTATGTTCTTATACTATCAGGTGTGAGCTGTGCTACTCATTTGTGACTATAAAAGTATTCTTCTAGTTCACTGGAGGTCTTTTCTTAATATTGGAATTTTCAGAGACATACACCACTGAGGCAGGGAATAGGACTAAACTGCCCCTCCTCGTGACAGTTTGTACTTTTTTTCCAACTGTGGTAGAACATACATAAAATAAAATTTACTATTTTAATGATTTTTCAGTGTATTTTCTGTACTGTATTTCAGTATATTATCTGTACTTTTAATATCACTTCCAAGAAGGAATTAAGGTCCACAACCACATTTTTAAAACAGCAAAAACAATCCTAGCTTGTTTATGGAACTGTGAGGAATGACTCAACATTCAGGTAAGAGTTATTGGTAATCATAGTCTGAGTATATCCTATTTACTGAAATCAGATCCTATTAATAGGTATTAGATGTAGGTAGGTAAATAGGTGTTAGCAATCAATTTGCGAAGTTCTATGAATTCCTAAAACACATTAGAAATCTGTGAGTTAGAATTCACTGACATGATAGATTCATAAAATAGCACAAATAATGTAGGAACGCAACTTGCTTCAAGGACTTCACTGAAAAATGCCATGAGGAAATATTTTTGGTCTGCTTATTTTCATATAATTGTATTATTATGGGTTGTCTAAAATATACTGGGGGAGAAGTCAGTATTTTGAAGAGTATATAGCTCTACATTCTTTTTAAAAAAGACATAAACAAACAGAAAGCATGGATGATACAAGATAATCTAGTTAGAGAATCGTTGTTTATGAAAGTTAAAAGCTTTATCATTTTTAAATAATTTTTTTAAAAAGCTGATTAAGACTAATGTTATGGTTATAGCACATCAACTGTGGCAAAATAAAAAAAAAGCACTGACTTGAAAGACTTAAAAACCTCAGATTCACCATTTTTTAGTTTCGTGTGTATGATCTCAAGCAGGTTATTTACTGTCTGTGAGCCCCAATATCCTAAACTGTTAAATGGTGATAATGCCCACATCTACCCCACAGGGCGGCGGTAGTAACATGCTTGAAGATATATGAGCTAACTTACATGAAAATGCCTGACACACCTGCTTAGCATCAAGCGGCTCTCAGTGAATACATCTTCTTTATTTTCCTTCTTAATAAATAGCACTTAGAGCCTTCTGCATAACTCATAACAAAAATAAAAGCAGTGCCTTTTTCATAGATAAACAGTTTCTTCCCTAGAGTTTCTATAAAAGATTTATTCTAAGTACAGAAACAAAAAGCAAAGAAAGGTATCTTGAGACACATCTAACAAGAAGCTTTCTTTGTTTCATACTGACATGCTTTGTGGTTACAACGCAGGCTTCCAATGAACACTGGATCGAAATTAAAATTCTAGGCAGGCATTCAAGTTTTATGATTGTCTCCATTCTTTACTGAGCATGGGAAACGAATGCTTTAGAGGTTATTTACTAAAGATATTCCCATAGTACACTTACAAAAGCTCACTTCCAAAAGAGGCTCTATCCCTGTAAGTATCTGAGCAAGTGAAAACTATACCAGGTTTCATGCACTGTGCTTTAAAAGCTGCAGCAGGCTAATAAAATCATGTTTTTACCAGAGACTTTTCTGAGGCTGGGCCACAGCGATATTGCAAAGGTGCATGATAAATTACAGGAAAAGACAGCAAATTTCAAAAACAAAAAACACTAATCCAGAATGATTTATGACCATATTTTGAATAAAATTAAATACAGAATAATTAGCAGAAAGCATTTAATTTTAGTTTTCCTATTATGAATGTAAGGTTGGCACAAATGTAGTTAGCCTAATCAAAATCAGGTAATAGTTACCTCTGTGGCTTTGCTTGATGGTTCCAGTCCAGTCACATTTGCTACTATTAACTGATGTAAGAGCTGAACCTGAGCCACACTTAGGAAGAAATCCAGGTTTGTGGTTATATTAACTTCCAAGGAATGGCCACATACTAAAATCTCCTGAAGGGAAAAAAGGTTGAATACAGATAAAGAAACATGATAGCCATTAGATGATAATTTATCATTCTTACTTATTTGACCCTTACGTTGTTGATGAATTCTCCTGGGACTCAAGTTCACTTATTAATGAGAACAGCACACATGGTGAGCACTGCCACTTGACACAGTTTAATGGATTAATTTAATAAACATTTATGAGGGCCTGCTGTGCGGCAGGCCATGTCCTAGTTATTTTCACCAGTTCCTACACATTTGGCTTTTTCATACCTCAAACTACTATCATTGATTCAATACGTAAGCGATGATGTAGTTCTTAACATAATCTTGTTCATCCATTCAAACCAACAAGTATTTAGTGAGCATCTCCTAAGTCACAAGTACCATACGTGAGTGCTGGGAACACCAGAGGGTAAGGCTAGCCTTGAAGGGCAATCTGCTCTCGAGAAGGTTACAATCCAGTTGGGCAGACAGATGTAAACAGGTAACTATCGGCAGGCAATTACAATCACAAGTGGTATGGTCTGAGTATTTTCCTAAGGGCACGTTCCAAATGATTTACAACAAAACGGAGTGCTGAAGCTAAAAACAGCTAGGCTAGTTAATTTCACTTTTTTAAACTCTAAAATCTTGGCAGCTTTAGGTAGATGTCCACAGCTTAACTGGTGCTGTTCTGCATAACTGAGTCGCCTGAACATTCATTGTTGGAAAACCACTCAGGGAAGGAAAACAGAAATGAAAAACAATCTGGAAGCTTCACTTAATAAGCAGAAGCCCTGCCTCTTGTCAGGAAGTGCATGTGGATAATGTTCAAATGCTTGGAAATGTCCAACAAACCTTCTTCTTATTAGTGTCTTTCAAGGGAAGGGATTTAAGCAGACTTACGACTGGTCCAAATACAAACCACACAGCTTAGAACAGCTTTTAATAAAGCCATAAAGAACAGCAGGCCGGAAATGATCCCTACTTTTTAAAATTAAATAAACTTTTGCCCCTTAAACTTTCTAGCATTTACTTATTATAGCTAAATTCTTATTTTATTCCTCAAGTAATGATGAAAGGAATATATTTCTGTATTCTAAACCAATTGTGTTACTAAGTAACTGAAAGATAATAGCAGACTTCATTTTTATACACCTTTTGTGGATATATAAGATATTATGCCCAACCTAACTTTCCCCATAGGGCTATTACAAACATCAAAGACAATAACATATACTAAACGCTGTTTTTCAAAAACTCAGAGAAGGTTGTAAACTTTTTATCAACTTAGATTAATATATTTAATCTGTATCTAATTTTTCTGAACTTTTCATGACAACTGTTTATAATTCAGTGATCAAAAAGTTTATCATGTTTTTAGCATAGCATGAATTTTCATGAAGAATATTTTTAGAGTTATGGTGGATCAGATTATTATTACATTTCTATTCTAGGCATGGAAGCAGTATGCCATAGTGATCAGACTTCAAACCT